TATATGATTATTGTATTTTAAATGAACAATTTTACTTTTGATTTTTCAGCTAGCATTGTTGATGTTGCATGTTTTAATAGACAGTCAAAATGGTTAAAATATCTTACAAAACACAATCAATAAATCATATGCAGTATAACTAAGTACAATGCAATAGAAAAGGAACCCCTTTACCATTTCATTTATAGAGAGCACAGAAAAGAGACCAAAGTAGCTAATATATTGCAATCGTGATTGGTCAATCTCTTGAAATGAGGCCAAATCATTCAAGCATCACTGGCGTTAGCTCAGTGGCGTTAGCTAATCTGGGGTCTGCAGATAGCGTTAATAACGCCAAGGACGTGGCGTAGTGAGTGGCTTTAACAACGCCACTACCTAGTTCACACACAAAGGCGTACGCTACGCCAGGCTTAAGCCAGCCTTACGCCGTGTGTGTGAACATAGCCTCTGGAAAAACCTGGTTCACCAACCGCCTGAATGCCCTTTTAAAGGGTTTGCTGGTAAATGGGATAGTAACAGCATGTGGGTTCACATCCAAAAAAACCTCTTCAATCAAATGGAAATTTTCCGTATGTATGGATGTCTAATTTAAAGAAAATATATTCTGAGAATATTTGCAAGTCATACCCTTGAGCTTCTGCGCGAGGCAGCCGTGGCACCAGAAATTTGCCGCCAAGGGTCCGACATGTCTGAGCCCAAGGGGTCGACAAGACTTGGTCGACGACCTGGAAAGAACAAATTCATTTGTAAGGGTTCACGGGGAGAGTTTTTATGACTTAGTATGGTCCAAAATGTGCTTGTAGACCACAATTTTAGGGATTGGCAGTCAAAATAACGTTACTTAGATAGGCAAATTATTATTTTTTTAAATTTTTGGTTTGACGACCTAGTCGTGCGCCGGACGACAGGGGGTCCAGGCCTGTCAGACGGGGAAGGGGAAAAAGCCTACCCTGCCCCTTGCTTGCGCCGCCACTGGTGCAAGGAAAGGCCGGGATGTAGAGTTGGGCGTAAAGTAGAGAGTGGACTTATACGCGAGGAACTACAGTAATTTAATTTAACAATTTTTTGAACTGATTCTGCAATTTGCTGTCTCATCAGACAAATCAAAGTATTTTAGAATCAAAATAATATATATTTGAAACTATAGACTATACTGAAAAAACAGCAGAAAAATAATGGATATAATTTTTAAAATGTTGTCCAGAACAAAATAAGACATTTTAAAATATAAAATCATATTTAATAATTATTGTAATATATATATATATATATATATATATATATATATAATTGATATAATATACTTTATATGTAATATAATGTATATTACATATTTTATAAATTAAAAGGCGAAATACTGATAAACGACAATGCTGTATAGGAATCAATGGCTAGATCTTGGTAAAGATACAAAATTAATAGGAAAAAGCTGAAATGTAAAGGTAAGAAATAGAACACATTTCCTTTGATATGGAAGACAATACAATCTAACTATCTTGTATTGTCTTGCAATATATCATAATAACAATACAATAATTATAACAATAAAAACAATGATAATTATAAAAATAACAACAATCCACCTGAAGAAGTCTAGTCCTACAGTGCATACAAAAGCTTGTGAAAATAAAATATCAAAATGCTACTTTTTGCTTTCTTATGTTTTTTGTATTTTCATTTTTAAAAAAGATTTATTCGGTCTTTTTATATAGTGCCTTTCTTTGCAGATACAAGTGCTTCTGTCCTAGCTGTAATCAGCGCGGGAGCATGCAACCCCACCAGCACCAATATTATACTCCTGGGTGGAGAGAAGCAAGTGTCTTACTCATTCACAAGCAAAATACACAGCGAGGGATTGAAAACTAAATTAACCCGCTGCACCAAACCAATTTCCACGAATATAAATCTACTCTCTTAATAACAAAATTACTAAGTTTAAATTTCTTTTGTCTAGTTCTTTACAAATATATCTCTGTATATATACTATATCTTTTTTCTTATCCCTCAACGATCTATTTTACATCTACAGTGGAATCAAATAAACTATATATTTATATTCTATTCATGATCTATCAAACTATTTTCAATATAATCTATACCTCAGTATGATGCTTATGGAGTGGAGTTGTTCATTCGAGTTATTCAAGATGAAGCATGTTTGACAATCAAGGATGTACATCCCTGATCTGATATTTACTACAGGTACAGAACAGAACCCTCCACTGCTAACCCTTGTGGTACACGGTTCAATAGCCTTTCTCCTGCGCCCTCAAAACGACGGTGTAGAAGCATACGCACACACATACATGCTTATAGAACATGCATATATCCTGGCACCGTTCTTATTGGTCAGTTTGACTCTTCGGTAAGGTCCATTCCAACCCCCGCCCCCCCTCACCAATACGGTCTATACTAACATCACCTTGTTTTACTGAAGTTACACTCAGTCACTCACTTACTCAGTTGTGTAAATTAAGCTCATTATATGTCCAATTGATACATAAAGTTTTGTTTTGTTTTTTTTAAATATGGATATATTTAGAGGAAATATTTAAAAAAATTATATATTAAATATACCCCACTCATCACTGTAAGAGCACATATTTTATCTGTAAAATTAGTCTTAGCACAACACTTAATCTTTAAATTTATAATCTTAATAATAAATATAAATTTGGTGAGTTGATCTTCAAATATATAGTAAAAAGAAGGAAATTACGGTACTCTATTTGGTGGCATGTCTTTGGAATGTTTTAAAAATATCAACAAGCTTTCCACTGGATACCTGTAGCTCTTCCAACATTTGAACTGCCATGTTGACCTCAGATTCAAGGTCAGCGGGAATGTCGCTGATGATTATTTTTCGAAAATTTGATAGAAACCCCAAGAGATTCAACTTCGCATTTCTACCATGACACATCGACTGTACACAGGAAACACCTGAATAAACAAGCAAATAAATCATTAAATAAAAAATCTAATAATTAGAATAATAATAATAATTCTGGATTTATGTAGCACCTATGTTGTCACAGCATCAAGGTGCTTAACAGCAACATAGAGAAGATTAAGAAAATAAACCATAAACTAATGTACAAATGTACAGTAAATTACTTATCCAATATATTTTCGTGGGCTTAGTTTTAATTTAATTTAACAATTAACTTGATGAATATTTATTTTGATATTAAATTACTATTAAATTAAGTATAGCTAATGCAATTGAATTATTTTGATGTGTATTTACACTATGTAGGACAAAAACCACCTAGAACAATAACCTACCGGACAAAAACCATCCAAAATGGAATATACCATTGTTAAAGTAGGGTGGGCAGTAGGGTGAACAATGTTGGGCGGGTTTGTTCTAGCTTTACAATAATAGCATAGTTTACATTGTGACATCCTATTATATGCCTTTAATTCATTAATTCTTTTGCAACATTCATTTAGATTAATAAGCTTGTAGATTTCAGCAAACACGGTGCTTAAAATTTGCCCTAACTGTCCACTTAAATTCCCAAATACAATCGGGCGGGAAACGAAAACTACAAAAATTATGGTGCTGTAAGTACTGTACTGACCTAGGTCCTTTTTTTTAAAGTAGCACTGAGAATCCGAAGTACAGTGCTGTTCCTCAGGTGCCAAGTCATCCAAGTCGGCGAGCTTCACTGTCCCGTTAACAAACACCATCTGGCTCAACTTGAAGTCTGACAGGAGAAGCGAACCAATAGGAGAGGTTTCCAAATGATACAATAATGACAATACATCAGTACACACCTGAAAAATATCCATAGTAAAATTAACATGGCATCACAGAAAATACAAATGAGTAATTCATTTCATTTCATTATGCATTCCGTCTTTTAAACAACATTATGTATGTAATTGAAGTTACAAAAAAACAAACCAGAAATTTGGGAGGATTGGGTCTAACTAAATTGAACCAAATTACTTTAGCATAGCCGGTTGACTTAACCCCAAATTTAACAACACACACAAATATTAAATCTTCAAATATACAAAAAACAAGAAGCTATTGTTATCTGTACTTTAAAGGTGGTGTGCAAACATGGACCTACAGGGATTGGGGGACAGAGCCATTTAGATATAAGCTTTCATTTTTCATCATGGCAAATTTAATGCCAAACAATAGAATACTGGGTAAACTTAAAAGATTTATGACTCCTTTTTAATTTTCACTCGAGAAAATAACAAATTTTATATTCAATACAGCCTGGAACTGTATATTATCTCATCACTATCAGTGAAAATTCTTATACAGTTAGTTATCTATGCTTGTCATCAGTACTTATCTGAATCTGTTTATATGGCATGCAATGTTGTTGCAATTGTTAATTTCACATTGATGTTATCTATTCCCCAAA